TGGTTCGATAGATTGCTACCAGCCCGGGGAGCCCGCCACACATCACTGCCTTATCTTGTCACACTCCTCCATCCCATGCCACTATCACTCCAAACTGGAATGTCTAGCGAAGACACGAGAGTGGACGGGAGAAGAGACAAAGACAGAGAAAAGAAACAGCAGAAAGCTCCAATCTCATCTGCCAACTCGTCAAACCTGGAGAGTTATGGCGTGAGAGGGAGAGATATCATCAGGGTGGGTGGGCGTGGGAGTGGCGCAGTGACGTGCGTGCATGTAGTGAGGTGTTAAGAGCAGGGTGTGTGACAGAGAGGATTTCGAGTGTAAACAAAACAAAACGCTCTCTTATGAGTTGTTATCCACTGATCAGAGGGTCGAACAACTGTGTGGGTGTTCATCTCCATTTACGTATACACCCACAGGAGAAGGTCTGGTGTGTCAGTTGCTCCAGGACAACACAGTCAGCACACATCCACACGATCATACACTGTAAAAAAGAAGTCAAATGGACAATAGAACTGCCTTGTAACACCTCATCTTTCATGACAGACATAAAGCTGGATTGGAAAAGACAATCCGGTTATTTGGAGATGTGCCTCCAATCAACACTGTTTGTTTCTTGAGGCAGCTGTATGTTATTCCAGAGAGCTTGTCAACCAATACAATCCAAATATGAAAAAAGGAAGCACTTTAGGCCACTGTAACTCAATAAGCGGAATTATCTGTGTATCTTGGACATCACTGCAAGTTGAAGAAAATTTGTAGAGGCAGTGAAATATCTGATACTGTAAACAAATGAAAACAAACACAGAGGTTTGTAGTTTTTGTCATTTTTTTCACCATTGCAGGAAGGTTTCAACTGCCAAGTTTATGTCTCAGAAAAGCTCTTTCATTCTGCTGCAGCGTATCTTGAATTCCTTCCTTAACTTCTGGGCAATACTGTTTACTGAAAGTTGAGGTGAAGTTATGGGTGGTCTTTTGTTGTGCTCTATTCTGCTCACTGAGGCTTTACAGGAAGTGTTTTAGGAGAGTTTAGCAAACTTTCTCCAAAGCTTCTTCCTGCATCAAACAACTGACACTGTGATTGAAGCCACATTTCACTGCCAACCAAAGCTGAGCTAAGAAACATAGCCAGGCATCAGAACACTGGGAAATCAGCTGTTTAGTAAGGGCATTTCTGAACTCAGCTAATTTCTTGAAAACTAGCTTCTTATAACTTTCTGTCTTGTTTGACCTGTGGGTGTTAAATTGGTAAAAAGCTTGGCTGCTGACCTAGGTAAGAAGGCTAGTCACAGCTCAGCCATAGCTATGCAACATGGGGGTGCAGAGATAAAGAGAGAAGAAAATTAGGCTAGTTATGCTGACAGACAAGCGCACCAAGACAATAAATCATTTTCTAATATGTAAACCGGAGTTGGCATGTGTGATTCAGTTTTCAAAACAATGGAACAGCCTGAAAATGAACACAATACATATAAAGCTGCCCCTCAGTCTGTGAAAAGTAGCCTCTGTGATGATGGCAACTGAAGTTACATTGAGACTGGTCACCGTTCTCCCAAGCATTTCTAATTCCTGAGAAGTCCGACCACTGAATGATCTGTATTTGTGAGAGTAATGAAGAGCAAAGCTTTTGTCTTGCACACAGCCCATCCAAGTCAGCCATAGTTGGCTGCAACTGCAAAACTACATAGACTTTTTACCTGTTCCAAGACGGCTTCAGCATCAAAACCACCTTCTAGAGTAGAACCAACCCTGATTTTATCAGTAGCCAGTACAAATGCACTGAGATTTGTGATCTGGCCAACAGAGAAAAAGAAGTGTTTTAACACTTCTGGATAAAACCCAACAAGACAGCTGAAATCACAAGTCGAAAAAGATGTGAGTAGAAAAATCAATCAACTGATTAGATATAGACAGGGTCAAGCTCAAGTGATTAACTGTGAAAGGGGGATTCAAAACGATCAGAAAAGTTGAACAAAAATGAACAAGACAAAAAAAAGGGGATGCGAAAGCAAACAAGCAACAAGAGCTTTGGCTGAGCTCTGTGTCAAGCCGCACTGATGAGGCCCCCACACTTGCCTGTCTGGCCGGCATAAGAGCTACAGCAAACTCGTCCCAGTTAAATGCAGATGACACAGGAACAACATTTGGACTTCCTGTTCTGTGACCCACAAAACCAAATTCATTTTTGTGCAACCTTAGCCCACCATAACCACAAGGTAATAGCTCAGCCACAAACAACCCAAACCTGATAGGAATAGCACATTTTCCTCTGCTGGCTATTATAGCCCTCACAGTGGTTTTGCATATTTGTTCAGCAACATGTCACCGCTCATTAATGGAGTGAGCACTGACCTCTTGTATTTGTTTTCCACTGGGATACACCTTACCAATATTGGTGTTCCCCCCCACGTATACCACACCTTGTCAGACATTTAAGGTCTGTGACCAGCAACGAACAAGAGCAGGATTTCCTGCACATAAAATACTGTACTCCTAATTTATTTAAGTGGTCTACACATATGTGGCTGTTTTATGTAAGATTATGCATCGCTTGATTTCAAAGTGTGAGTCTGTCTGTTTCAGCCATCAAAGAAAGCAGAATCAGTTGAAATCAATATTGGGAAAAAAAGTGACCATACCCTGAATGCACCTCTGTGCATTAGGACGTGTAGGAGCTGCACCTTGTTACGTAGCATGAGTCATACAGCACACAGTGTCACTTCACCAGACCTCAGTGGAAAGCAGGACATCCGCAATGCAAACAGTGATGAACGTACTATTCTAGGAACGAATACGAAAAGGAGTTGGAAAATATGCTTCTGTGCCCATAATTTGAAGTTTTCCGGCACTTGCTCTGCTTTTTTTTTTTTTTTGGTCAGTGGGCCATTCTGAACAACCGAGAGGGGGTGAAGAGACATATGGTGTGAAAAGTGCACACTTGAGAATAGATGTCAGGCAGGGGCTCTTAAATCTATCTGTACCTGAGAGAACACCACAGAAAATAAGCTCTTAATCTACGCTACTACCACAGTTTTCTGCGAAAGACAAGCTTGAACCACTCATTGTTTTGTTTGCTATGGGTCCATTTAAATCTCATATTCCTCTACATGCAAGAAGCATTTGCTAATGAAAGCAGGTAGATTCAATTTCAAAGCAGAACCATTATCTTCTACTTCACTTGGTTTTGGCTTCACATATACTAATTATGATGGGCCTTTCGGGGATTAAGTCTGCGTATGGCTCTGTCTGTTCATTCAGTTTACATATTTTTTAAAATGGTTTCAAAAAAATTGTTTCCACTAATCATACCTTCATTTATCTTGATTCTAATTTGTGATTTTTATTTGTCCACACATGACATCCAGATTTTTTGGCTGGTTTCAAAACAAGAACGACCACCCAGAAGAGTTTTGGGCCTCTTTATCTTTTTAAAATTGCAGCACACAAACCTTCCAATCGAGCAAGAGGCACATTAAAAACCAATCCAATACCAATGACACACAGTAGTCGTGCAAAGTCTTATTTACAAAGCAGATGGGAAGCCTTGGCCTGTCCAACATTAATTACAATCACATTCAAGGAGGAAGCCGTCCTTCCTCCAGGACAGTTAGGACTCATTGTACGGCTGGAGGAGATGGCAACCTAATCCCCCAGTCACCACAGAAATCTGAGGGAAAAGATGCACAGGACGTTATTAATCAAAGTGGAGAGCCAGATGTGCAATAACACAGCACAGGAATATCAAAACCGCAGACACACAAACACCATGCCACCACCATCACACTCCCACACAGAAGCCAAGAGAGTCGCTTCAATATCTGAGACCAAAACGGCATTCTCCTCCTGTCTGAATATCTGCTCTTCATCACTACGTGTCAACACCAGTACTCTGAGGGCCAATAACTACAGAAGCATTTTTTTCACTCAGACACTCCAACTTAATTAGCTTATTCATGCATGTTTGGTATTGAGTAACTTAAAAGGTTTATAATGCTGATGGGTGAAATATTTAATAGTCTTCCTCTTTCAAGAGCATCTGAAAGCCAAGGGGGGAAAAAACAAAAAACAAGAGACTACGTTCTTTAGCAGTGATACACTCCCACTCTCTTCAAAGCCAAATCACGACAATGGCCCTAGTTCCTAAGAAGAAGGACAATCAGTGTGGATGTAAGCCCCCTTGACCACCAGAGTCGGACTCTGGCAGCCCCTCTGTTTATCATAAGGCGCTCTGTTTAGAGTCTCCCAGCAAACACTAGAGCTACTAATGGAGGGAAGGTCTTTGGGCTTTTATGTCCCAAACTCGTTATGATTAAAGTGTCCCTCACTTGAGCTAATTAAAGACAAATCTGTTTGGGCAACATAAACAATGCGACGCAATTTACGCACAGAAAGAGCAAAGCGCTGCAGGCCAACGGAAGGAATAGCTCTTTTATATACAAATGCCAGCTGTGTTTTACTGAAAATATAGGTCTACTTTTCCAGCTAACAAATAAATCATGGAGTAAGCTGCAACGCAAGACGCACCGCAGAATTTCGGTCTTAGCCAATGAGGACCAATCTACCCGGAGAGAGGACGTGTAACAGTAAATTGCTCCAAAACAATACAAAGCGCATGACGTTTTCAAACCCACAGGGGATATGAAAGAGGGTTTTAGCCTGTGTGTGGTTCACACAACAAGCCTGTCATGTCTTGTGATGTTCAGTGATTGAGCGGTACATTAAAATGTGGATCAAATATGAGTGAATGAATGTGGCCAACACAAATCCAGTGGGAAGGCTTAATTCATAGGTTAATTTGAGGAATTAATACCCCCTTCAAACTGACATTTAGTCACTTCTTCAGCCACAGTTCAGGTGGGTTTCCCTTTCCTTCTTATTCCCAACACCTGTTCATATTTCAGTTTAACCTCGACTGCTGAGAATTTCCACTTGATTCAATAATCTAACATTATGAAATTGACATTATGACATTCACAAATTAAATTATTTAAAGTACTCACCTAAATTCACGAAGCTCATCACCATATCTGCATCATTTAAAAAGGCAGTTTCTTGATATGTGGCCAAATGGGGACTCTGGGTTGTCCGCACAGACTCATATCTGTCAGGCATGCCCTGCACTTGGCTTTTCTCCTCGCTTGACATGGTGTTGTACAAGTCCAACATAAAAAGTGGAGCCGAGTTGTACTTTCCGTGCCACAGATGCGGTCTCGGTCTGTGTGGCAGCCCGAGGATGGACAGGATCTCCTTCTGCATCTCCCTCTTCTCGTGCGTCCGCAGCCGCCGGTGGATGAAACCGTGCACTTCGTTGTTTCCATCCAGTGAATGATTACTCCCCGCGACCGGGAATATGCAGTAATAGGCGCTCCACCACAATCCGACCAAGGCGAGGCAGCGGCTGGTCATGGTGCTGTCCCACTGTGCTCTCCGGAGTCCCAAGTGTGCCTGTCTGTATGTCTGACTTGTAGTGTCAGTCGCCTACCCAAACGCAAAATGTGCGTAACAGTAACCGAAGTCTGTCCGAGCGCGTCGTTATCTGATTAAACCACAGATGTACAGCGTAAAACGAGAATTAAAAGTGCATCAAGCCATTTAAAAGACTTTCTAAAACAAAATAGTGTCGGTCCTGCTCTCATTTCTGATTCCCGTAGCGCATTGTAGTGCTTAAGGATAAAGTGCACCATGTAAAACTTTATTGTGAGCGCTCCGGTATGTCCGTCAAAATACACCGTTTGACACAACGTTAACTAATACAAGAATAACAAATCCTCTAGAAGAAGACATTTTACGTAAATGGATATGTCTGCTCTCCAAAATGTATGGTTTTCCACACTTCTGCTCTACAACCGCCCTTCAGTAGGTGAACTAGTCTCAGTGGCGGTCACTTGACTCAGCAGGCTGTGTACGAGTCTAACAGGAATCTGCAGGTTGCAGTCCATGGCGTGCGTGTGCATGTTTACGCGTGCTTCTGTGAGTGTATGCGTGCTCAGAAACCTCCCACTCCGTATGTACTGAGCCGGAGGCGGGGCTCTTCAGGCTACAACTTCAGAATTACTTACCTTTTTTTTGCATTTATACCGCACATAATATGCCCGTTACATTTTCATACACTTTCTGTGATGTTTCAATCTAATCCAATCCTACGACTTGATATTTTTCTTAAAACTGTACATATAAGTATTATGATTGAGTAGTTGCGTTTTACGTTGCGCCTGAAATAATTTGGTCCTTAAAACGAAAAGCGTTGGAACTTAACCCCGTTTGAAATCAGCTGTAACGAAGCATGGATTTCATCTTTACAAGTCCAAAATCAAGGTGTGTGTGTGTGTGTCTGCTAAAGCAGAACACATGTCCAGTTGTGGCACGACCCCTGACGATGGAGGGGAAAACGGCAGGCAACCCAATTTAAACCGCTATGGAAATCGCCCCAAGTGATCTAATAAACCAAGCTGCAATGTTAATTGACATGACTGGTTGCACAATGAGTAAAATACTTTGTGATCACTAGGCAAATATACACTTTAAGTATAGCAAAGGTCTATAGACCAATTTAAAATGTCATATTTAGCAGATGCTCCAGATCTATGCAAAGAAAATTCTTTAAAATGCTTATTTGCCCCTCTCCTTCCTCTCCCATCCCTTCACCCTAACCTGTGTTATGTCTTCATGGTCCTTTCAGAGTGATGCTCCTGATAAGACCCAAAGGTGGCCCTCTCTCTCTCTCTCTCGCTCTCTCTCTCTGCTACTACTGCCACAGCCTATCATGCCTGTGTGATGAGTGAGAACCAGCATCAAAGCCACACACACACCACCACCCAACACATGTACACAGTACTGAGTGGTTTCCAGACTAACACTTGACTCCTATTGCCATTTCAGCCTTCGTGGCATACCATCAAGTGCACTATGGCCCCAACAGAAATTACATTAACGCAGCATGAAGAGAACATGCAAAAACTTCAAATCTGAGACAAAATGATGTGGAACCAAGGTACCTGCATGCATGTGTTAGAGAAGTGGCTGATCTGAATGATAACCTGTCCATAATAGATTCAGTGCTTATGCAGTTTGAGCTAAAAGGGAACAAAAAGTCTACTAGCAATGAATCTGAATGGTGAGATTTTCAAACAGAAACAAGGAAATAGCACGACCTCGTACTATTAGGGTGTGGAATCCCTGTTTTTGAGCATATCGTGCGTCATACATTAAACAAACTAATAAGCTAACAAAAAGCAGAGCAGTTTTTTGTGTCTGCTGTGTGTAGACTGGACACAGAGGGAGGAGAAGGAAACACTAAACAGAGGTTCTGCATCCTGTCATCACACTGTCTAGACAGGACACCTCCTAGATCTAATGAGGTCTTTTATCTGTATCAACCTCTTTTTCTAACACGCATGCACAAACTCCCATACATCACTGCACATTTTGGTTTTAGTTCTTCATGGCATTTTTATTAAAGAGCATTAAAAAGTCACAGAAGACTTTACAAAGAAGGATTTTATACACACAAACACACACACATATACATCTGTTCAACAAGCAAAATTAAGGGGAAGTGTCCTACAATAACCACACACCTGGCACAACCTGACAAGAAGTGCTGAATCTTCTGCAGTAATTACAATGCTCTGTTTGCACACATGCACGCATGTACATGTATGCAACAACATGTCTTATCCCAGTTATCAAGTGTTTTTCACTAAGTCAAAGGAACAACGGTTCGCTGCTGCAGGCTTATTGTTTTAGAAGCCTATGTAGTAGGGATGTGCCGCAAAACTAGTTATATTTGTATTCGAATAAAAGCAGAAATAGGCGTAACAGAAAGATGGGAAGGGATTTGGATCTGTCACCCTATACGGTGCATAACATAAAGGTTCAAGGAATCTGGAAGGATTTCAGTGCATAAAGGCCAAGAGCACAAGCCTAAGCTACATAACTGTGCCCTCCAATCCCTCAGACTGCACTGCATCAAGAATCGTCACTCTTCTATAAGCGACATAACCACATGGCCTGAGGATTACTCTGGCACACCTGTGCCAGGCACTACAATACATACAACATACTATGTTTTGCCTATATTTTAATCAGGCTGTGTTGCTCCACTTTAGTCTGTGCTCTCTCTGCCTTCCACTCTCCTATTGTCTTGTAATCAGCACAAGCAGGTAAAACACAAACACCCATCATATTCACAAGTATGGGGAACACCGGCTAGTTGATGTTTTTTTTTTTTTCTTCTTCCCAAAAATGAATCATTTCAAAAATAATTGTACAAAATAAGTATTTGCAAAAACCCACTATTTGTGCTTTTCCAAATACTGTATTTGTATTCAGCTTTACCTCTACCAAGTAGTACTTTGTTGTGGAATAGTTTTGTAGTCACAAACTTCCATTAGCCCTGCATCGCTCAAAACAAAATTGTCTGTGATTCTCATACTGATAATTTGCTTTAAAAAAAAAAGTACATTTATGATTCAAATGTATAAAATTCAGAGTAATAGGTTGATGACATGAGAAGAGTATGTCAAGTATATGAGTATATCTTTAGAACTTAAAGTGCTCTCAGTTTATCGCAGAAGATTTGTGGGCCGCAAATATGAATGAATGTGTTAGATCACCTTAAGAAAAAAAAAAAGAAAAAAAAAAACGCAATTCACAAGGATTGTGCAGTCGAAATCCTTAGGAGAATTTCCCTCCTTTCCCTGCTCCAGCATTGAACCTGGCTGCCCCGGACACAGCCTCAGACTCGATGACAGGAAGTCCGTGGTCAAACTCGTACTGCATGGCCTGTGTAGACAAAGACAGACTAAACCAATTAAAAATACTTTTATTGTACATTACAAAGTTTTTATTTAATGAACTCAACCTGGCAATCTGTGAATGTCACAAACTGTATGGTGGCAACAAGAGTGAAATACAAGGGATAACAAGTATGTGAACTTCAGAAAATCATGAAATAAATAAATAAAATACAGCACAATAGTGATTACATGCAGTTACCCATATTGTATGCAATTTTTTTTTTTGGTTTTTGCAGTTTCTTAATTTGACACAACTGTCTATAAAACTTTCTGGTGTGCAAGTATTTAATGGTATTTTATGTTATTAACACAAACCTGAAAAGGTTGTTTTGGTTACCAATACAGCATGTGCCCATATACCATGAATGACAAATGAGCTCACATGCAGAAAATGCTTTATGGTCAAGGTTTACATCAGTGACACATGGTGTATTTTGATATTCTCTTCTAAGTGCTGGTAAGCTGACATGTTGGTGTCCTAGATGAGGTGTGATAGCATGAAATTCCTACATCAGGTGTACCTGTGTGAAGGATGACGCATCATAGCAGCTGTACATGGCAGAGGAGCGGTCAGCCCGCATACACTGCTGGGGGAAGGAGCTGATCTGCTCTGCTAACTCCAGGGCTACCTGTAAAGCTGTGGTTACAACATGGTGTCAGTCCAATACAATGACACAGATAACCAT